CTGCTGGTTCTTAACTGCTCAATACTGCTCTTTGTAAGGGAACTTCTATTTGTACTTTAAAGATATATTTTTGTGCACAATTTAGGAAAAAAAAGCTTGCTTGTTCAGAGTTAAATCCTACAAGCCTTTTGCAAATAAACTTTTATAATTCTGTTGTGATCCACTGGAAGGTTTTCAACACCAAAGCTGCTCAAATTTCATCCACATCTGCATCCCTTTCAAGACGCTAAAGCCTTTTTTGTGCAGAGCTGATCTATTGTGTACAGGGGTATTATGAGGGCGCAGTCCCACAGGTTTCTGATATACTTCTGGGAGGAGAGCCATTGATTTATTGTACCAAGAAATGTCAGGTGTATCGGTGTAACCTTCCAGCAGCATTTCTCTCAGGAGATTTTGAAGTCACTGCTCAGTTATCCATGTTCTCAGTCACCTCAGGTAATTTTTGGTTGAATTCTACTACACAGGTTTTATTTTAAATATTGATTGGAACCTATTTTTCAAAATATCCTTTAATGAAGACGCCAGTTCAACAGGATATGGACTTTCTGGCAATAGATGCAAGACAAAGGTCCACCAAGTCAGAAGGTGTGGTTGGCAGATTGTGCCTGGCCCCTTCGACGCTGGTCTGCCCAGAGCAGAGCAACATGAAGCAGTGGAGATGAGCTGGCAGAGGCCATGCTACGGGGTCATACCCTGCTGAAGACCCCAAAAACCACAGGCAAACACATGGCACCACGTGAATCAGAAAAAGGGCTCTTCCCACCCCAGGACAACTGGTTTCTGGTGCAGCCCTTTCTATCACTGCAGCTTCTTGACTTACATTCTGAAGAAATAGCCTAAACCTATATTGTATATAATTTTTGAAAAAAATATACAATCTTTAAGCAAAGTTTCCAGTTACATCAGTCACCATGATTTCATTTGTACTTTTTTCGTGAAAGGAACATCACGCTCCTTACAAGAATCAACTGAGATTAAGTTGTGAAGCAAAGAATTATGGCACAATAAATAGCAGCAAACTGGTTTGTCAAGGCAATGGTTCAACTACCTGTTACCAAAAAACTGTTCTTCCTTTAAGACATGCAATGATTCAAACTGGCCTGCATAGCTGATAAGCATGAAAATCTGTTCCACAAAAATACCAGGTTAAGAAACCCTTCGGAAGTACTGATATTTTGGGGTAGATTTTGAGGTTTGAGTTTGGTGAATTACACTGCACACTGATAACATGTCTCACCCACAGAACACGGCACTAACAAATTAACTTTTAAAAATCTGTGGAAGTATGCAATTATTTTACATCCATTTCACTGGCTTCTATTTAAACTTCAAATTAGTTTATTGACTCAGTTCATTAACTGAATAGATTAGCTTCTACGCCTCTTAAAATTAGCAAGGCATTGTTTGCTACAGGCAGTTGTTCACTCATTTTGCTAGAAGATAACATACCTGGTGCATCATATGAGCACTTCTCAGTGTTCATGCCTCCCCTTTGAGTAACTATCACAGCCTCTGTAATTAAGACCTTCTGCAGCCTACCTGAGTTTATCATTAACTTAACAATAGTCAGAGGGAATCTCTCTGCCCGCAGGGTGGGATTTGTCCAAAAGGGATGCAGCCGTACCACTTGCCACTGAAGTTCAGATGTTTCTGAGGTGACGGCCACGTGCTGTCTAATGCTATATAAAACATGTTTATGATTTTTTTGGTTGTCTATTGAAGTTCTAAAGTTATTAGCTCATTTTCACAAAATATGAGCAGAGCATGCTGAATTAAAAAAAACAAAATAGATTTTTTTCTTTCTGAACATTCACCCAGAATTGATGGCAGGCAGTTTTGTGGATGATGTGTGCTTTGAGAACTATTTCTTTTAGCAGTTTTCTGGGAGTTCTTAATCCGCATTTGAAACTGCCACTTCAAAGAAAATATGATCATGCTTAAAAGCAACATGCTTAGTGTGACTTCATAAACAATCCTGCAGCTGTAGGTAAAAAAAATTAAACTGAAAGATTTAAGAGCCAAAAGAAAACCCACAACACACATGATAATTAAACATTTTAAATGGGCTAGGTTTGGCCTAAAACCAGCACAAAATTATTTTACATGGACGATCAGTAAGTTAAACTCTTCTTTAAGTGACAGAATACAAGACAAAACTCTTACACACAATCTTTCCTTACAAAAGCTTATGAACATAATACAACCTGAGAGAAAACATTATCCTCTTCTAGCATTTTAGACAGCAATAATACAAATTTAAACTATTAACTGGTAGAGCAGGTTGATAATTACTAGCCTCATGTGAGCTACCAGTATCTCTGTAATCCTCTTCAGCTTTGCTTTCAAGACTCTTGCTAACTTCAGTTTCTTAAACGCACCCATGCCTCCTTGTTCCTTCTAGCATGGCTTGCTGCAGCAGAGCTGCCATTTGCCTTCTGCTGCCACCACCCATCCTTCTGACCTTTTTTTTTGTACACTAGCTACCACCAATGTTTTCAAAAATTTTTTGTAAACAGCTTCTTAATTTCCTGCCACATTTTCTTTTCCTTTTCTTTCTTTCTTTAATTCATATAAAGAGTATTTTATGATCATTTTGTAATGGAGACCTAGACAAAATTGTAAAATGAAATTACCCTAAATTATATTAAAACAGCCTGGTTATGGCAGGCTTAGTGTGCAACGCCAGCAGCATCCAGTAACAGAAGTAAACAACTACTGAGCTATGGGCAAGGTCTGCAGGTGAATCATTTTTGCTTTTTGACTAAGACTCATATAGTTATCAAGAAATTCTCTCTGGCTTATAAAATCAAATATTCTCAGACTTTATCTCATAACTTAATCTTCTGTCTAGATTTTAGTTATCCTGTATATTAATATGTTCATTATTTTAAAGTATTGTGCCTAGACATTTCCTATTGTGTATGAGCAATATCCCAGACAAAAAAAAGTCTTAAGTCATTGTGTTGGATAGAATTTGATTAAAATAAAGTTACCAACCATTAAATAGAACTAGATTTTAATTTAATAATAGGGGACTTAATGCAAGCTATTGTTTAACATGTTTTATACTCTGCTCTAAAAGAAATTGATGAGGTAATGCTAGCAGACAGCTTGAGAAAAGTCAAGGATACCAGGACATTCCAAAAATCTTACTGTCTCCCGAGAACATTTTTTAACTCTGACATCAACCATCTAATAAAATCTGAATCCAGCAGAGGTCTTGTGAATGCATTCGAAGTAATTCGATGCAAAATTATCTCCAAGACAGATGAAGTAGGAAAAAACTACTAGTTTTGGCTCAAAGATTTGCAGGAGAGTAAATCTTTGGAAATATACCTTACCTAGTAGCAGTGCTGATCAAAAGTTAGTAATAAATTGTTTGGTGTGATTGATACTAAGAAAAGCTAACTAATGATGGTTAAAAGTAGCCACTTTTTTTTTTTTTTTTTTTTTTCTTTTTTAAACGTTCAAAGCGACAAATTAATTTTGAAGTTCGTTACAAACCGGACACCCAATCAGAAGATCAGGAAGTACTAAAGTCAGGATTTGTTTCATTAGTGAAATGCCCTAGAATGTTTCTTCTGACACTCCTTTTTCCTTGTATAGCATTACTACTTCAAGTTTACATATTTTAAAAGGAATTATTTCCAGACATTCCTCCCCTGAAACTGTTCTTGAGGAGTGTGGCTTTTTGGTTTTTATGTGAAAATAGTTAGTACAGTTCGGATAGCAAAGTGTCAATCAATTTGCCCCATATAACAAGTGAAAGACCTTGGAAAAGTAGAAACACCTTAGAATTTATTTTATGGATCCATATTAAGTATCTAGCTTAAACCCTGCCCCCCCCCCAAACCCCACAACAATAAAGCTTTCTATTTAAATGTTAGAGACTCACATTTAAAACTTTAAACCTGCATCCCTGACATTAATCTGATCAGTGTACTGAAAACAGGCAGTAGCTTCCCCCCCTCAAGAACACAATTGTTCCTTTGAACAATTAAGGATGAATTTTTTATGAAATCCATATAATTCGATCTAGTTGCCTACATTTAAATTAATGAAGTTGCATACTTTGTTTACATTCAAGCAGTTTATGAAGCTTCTGTATGGTTAGAGAGGCACTGTTGCGATGTTATTTGCTAGATTACCAGGCAGGAAATCTTAACATCAACAATGGATTCTAAAATTACACAGAATTTCATGACTGAACAGGTAGATGTGAGGCAAAAATCTAACACTTCATCATCAGTGTCCAATCTTCATTCAAACCCACTGAGGCAACATGTAAGTATGTTGTTTTAATTGTCTTTTTTTTCCCCTAACTGTTGTTAGCTGGGTTTTTGCTTAGTTTTCTTGTTTTAAACTGAGATTTTAACTTAAAAAATAAAATAGTAATCAATTACTAAAGAACTCAGCCAAAAAAAAAAAAAAGACAAACTTTCTCAAAATCTGAACAGTTTATCCATGAAAACTATCATTTCTCCTATCAAAAACCAAGTTTAATAGAATGGAGATAAAACCCTACACACCAAATTTCTCATTCAGACTTTTTATGAGAGATTTAATATTTTAAATGTATAAGGTAGTTCAAATTATGGAAGATATTTATTGTCACCTTGGGACACTGCATAAATCACAACAGTTCTTTCATTTTTTGTCATAGGATCACACTACAACATTGAAGAAAGTCCATAAAAAACCAGTCTATTTGCAGCTAAAAGTGTAGCGATCTATAATTGGAAGAGCTGTATCGTATTTCTGGGTGAAAGTTAGCTGTTGGTACTATATATTCAGGCCGTCTGACCTTCAGTGCTATTATGTTTCTTGAAGTACTTGAAGCCTTTGAGGTGAAGAATGAAGTTGCAAATAAGACCTAAATTATGTGTTGGCCAAAGCTTGCACTTCGAAGCAAAGCACAATTTTCCGCACATCTAATTTGACTCCTCCAGTATTTTTCCACTTAATGAGCAAAGGTATTACTGTGTTAAAGAATTACTCACCCGATTAGGGACACCATCTGCTCCACTATATGTTTGCTGAATGTTATAATAACGAAAAGTTTCTGTAGGAAGGAAAACATCAGTTAGAGAAACATTTGATCAAAAGGGAAGCAGAGACAATGGGGTACAACAATTTATGTTCCTTTCCAACCAGACGGCTTCTTCAGCACTCACACATAGTTTTCCCTTCTCTTTTCTTTCAAGATCTTTATTTTTCAATACTTTTCAAAAAGAGGAGAGAGAAAAGCTGTTTACTTTATTATTTTATTTCCTCATAGATTTCATTTCTTGCAATGTTTTTGTAGCCTGTGCTACTAACCATTCGCATCTTCCCCAAACTTAAATTCCCAGAAGCTCAAGGTCACTTTACTCTGTCAACAATGTTCTAATGGAAAAACAGTCATCACTGTGCAGAAAAAAATCACATCCCCTTACACAAACACATGTACTTAAAGATCACAGAAGTGAAAAATAATATATCTTTTAGTCCCCTCATTCATGTGCTTCAGACAGAAACATAACGAAAAATAGTTAGTGAAGAACAAAGTAAGAGCCCTTGGGTATCTGTCTGTTCAAAAAACTTAGATTGTCACTGTCTCTAATGCAACAGACTATCTGGAATAGAGTAATTTCAGTAAAAGAAACTTCTGTAACACGTAGCTTATTTTGCAGAAAATCCAAATGTCCATAATTTTACCACTCCCTTCTCTTCTAACACAAATTAAAATTTTGTTAAAATAGCCTTTCCTAATTCCACTTTTGTCACATTTGACAGCTTGTTCATTTGCAAAGAGTGAGCAAGACTGCGTGTAGATACATATACACACAAACAGTCCCCACAGTCTCCTTACATCAATTTAAACATGATCTAATAAGCACTGCATTCACTAGTTTGGAAATAAGGGATGTGACTAGAACTACACAAATGATTTTGTGGTCCGGAGGAAGAGGCCAGTTAACAGCAGCTCCAGGATGGCCACTGCACCAGAGTCACTCGCTTCCTGTCTAGAGAAAGATTTCATTAAAAGCCTTTTCCATGAGTCTTACATTTCCTAAATTCCAAATTGCAGCAAGATCACTCCAAAAATCAAGGCTATTGCACAAGAGTTTGCTTGAAATCAAGCATCGCAGAAAAGAGAACTCTAATAGCTAAACGTATTACAAAATAAGATGATTTACCAACTATACAAGACACTGGGAAATATTTTTTCGCTTACATCTGATCTGAGTGTGGAGCACTATAAATTACATAGCAAACATTCTGCTAGCTAAACAAGACAAATAAAATAAGGAAAGGAATATTATACAAATACTATTTCACTTTTCTGTTGCCAGAACAAATTCTAACAGTACAAAGATTTAAAAGCAGAAAAATCCAGATAATACAAAAGTAAGTGTGGAGAAAAAGTTGTTCTATCACAGTAAATGACAGAATTTTCAGATCTATTTATTATTTTCTGTTTAAGGACTGGGCAAAGTAAAATAACCATTTACAAAAAGATGGGAAGAAAAAAAGAGTTGAAGATTGAAATCATCTGTTCAGGGCAAAAGAAAGATTTTTAAGCAGCTTGAGGAGGGTACTAGTAACGAGTAATTTTATACTACTAATAGCTTCTGCTATTTTAATGTAGTGACAAGATTTCCAAGCAACACAGCTACAGGCACTGCACCAGTCCTATGGAGATGCTTAAAAAAAACAAGCCCCAACTGAAAACATTGGTTCTAATCATTACAAATAGAGCGATGTAGTTCATGATATAGCACTAACCACACCGCCACCAGTAAAGAGTTGCCAGGGAATCAATACTTCATCTTTCATTGGACAAAATGGTGACGCATTTTAAAAGCGAGACTCAACATTTTTGAAAGCAACTGGAGATTCTGACTGCCAAATTCAGAATACCTGGTAAGGCTCTGGGTTAGCAAGAAAAACATGCTCCGAAATCAGGCCCTTTCAAAATAATATAGACTAAGGACACCAAAAATTGCTAATCACGCTTGAAAGCTACGGACAATATGCCCAGAGACATACCCTCAGACTGCTCTCTGCAGGGCCCGAAAGGAGCGGGGTTTTCTCTACACACTCAACTGAGATAAAAGGCAGCATTTAAAAGTGCCGCTTAACCGGTAAAGGCTAGTTGCAGTGCTCTTTGAAATGAGTATTTGTTACCAAAAAGGCAAGTTCATTATGAGTACGAAGTCCTTTCAGTCTGGTAAAAACCGTAGGTAAATAACTTGGCTAACCACCAATTTCCTGAGTGGTGTAGGCAGCGAGCTCATTAGTTTGTAGCTATAAATTATTCAGTTGCCTAAGTTTTGAGCATAAGAAGCCTAGCAGATCCTTTATTGTAAATCCTTTGCACCAAATTAATTTCCATTACTTCAGGTCAGGAAGGGAGACTCCAGAATTCATTACGAAGTAACACAGTGTAACAGTCAAAAAAAAAAAAAAAGTCCTCACCCCAGAGCCCTGAGGGAGGTGCAGTACTTGCCTGGATGTGCATTTTAATTACTGCTTTCCCAATCAAGGTTGCACCAAAGAAGGTCCAGAAGGGAACCAGAAAGTGTCCACATGTTATCCCGGCCAGGTCAAACAGAGGGTTTGGAATCTATGAAGAGCAAGGGAAAGAAGTTCATGAATTGCAACACGCACTTAGATGAACAGGAACACGACGGACTTTGAAACTGTGAAAAATGAACATTTTCCCCTTATTCAACTTGATCCAAAACTCTTGTGTCTTAATACTTACAAAAACGTTAATGTTGCACCACATAACTTAAGTCTCTGGGATTCAGCTAGACAATGTCCCAGACAATTCCATTCTCATGTCCCTCCTTACCCCTGGATTTTAAAAAAGCTAACAAGTTTTCCATATGAAATGCACAGAAACCACAGTAAAGCCATTTTGAGCAATTTATCAAATTTTCTCACTGACAAGCACATCACTCTTGGAAGCTAGTGTTCAAAGTGATCCCCAGTGATTTCCATCTGAGAAAGTACATTAAAAACTGGCATTTATAGTCATATGTATCCAGTTTAAAAGCACCGATTAGATTTTATTAAGCATATGCATCTCATTTAAAATTAAAAGTTTTTTTTATTGTTAAACTGTTGGCTTGATGTTTGGTATTGTGATTCTATCTGTAAAATATTTTTGAAATTAAACCAAGAAAGTGTCCAAATTCCAACCTTTCACACTTCACATGCAGTACAAGGGCAGACTGTCTGAGTAAACGCATGGGGTATGTGTAATGCACAGTAGCAGTGTATTACTGGGCTAATATCCTGCAGTATTTGTGTCGCTTTGTTACCCAAACAAATAAATAAAAAGTGTAGATTGTTAAAGACCATAAAAGACAGTAACTTTGCAACTGACTGAATGGAAATCTGAAATCTGTGAGAAAGCTTATGAGGGTTATACTTAGCTGTTATAGACTAGCAATTCAAATTTATGAGCACCCACAACACCACCTGCATAGGAAGAAATCTGAAACGGTCTCTAATCATGCCCCGAAACGGTCTCTAAACATGCTCCACTTCAACTAAAATGATTCTTTACCTCTGATAGCTGTCTTAGGCATAGGAGGCTAGTAAATTATTTACTTATACCACAGCCAGATAATTTTGCTCTTTTGAGCCAAGTCTGCTCTAGGTCTCAAGTATGTTCTGTGTTGGTTGGTTTCAGGTTTTTTTGGTAAGTTCACTGTACATTTTAATTACTGCATTACTATCACCACAGAGGGAGAAACATCCTTTAGGTAGGGGTAACTGTGGATATCATCAATACATTAAACATATCACTGTAAAAAGTTACTCAACAAATCCACATTAGGGTATATAAGCAGGCCAGCGAGGTTTTCTCTTTGTTTTTGAAAAAACACACACGCGCGATACTGAGAGTTGCCAAAAAAGCCCACAAAGACAGGAGGGCAAATTCTCACAAGTCACAGCAAGGATCTTCCAGGGCTAATTCTTGCTTTGTTCCCTCCCCAGAGCTGCCTTTACATAGGAATTAAGCTCCAGACAACAATATGGCTTTCTTATTGCCACTGAACTACATTCAGTTGACTTCCCTGGATAAACTTGCAAAGTTTTAAATTCAATTTGACTGTGTTTTTATGTAGCATTTAGAAGCCACTGCTTGACAGACAACAACCTGCAGCTAGGACAGTCATTACCATTTCACAAGCAAGTTCTCTAATCATAAAACATACACCCAACTAAAATACTGTTTAAAAATCCAAAAGTAAGATCGCAATTATAAGGGGGGCAAGTAAAGGAAACACCTTCTAGCATACAGAGAAGCAGCCACAAGCAAGAGAAGCCCTGAAACAAAGCTTTGCAGCTCGTGGGGGAACACACGAATGCAAGGAGCACACGTGAGGGGCTGCCTTCCTCACCTAAAGATGCAACAAAAATGTATAGCTTTGAATCCCTATGCTTTTTCAATGCCTCCGCCACATTCAACCTCACCCTTTTCACTGCTACTCTGCAGTTATTCTGTAAACACATTTACAAATCCTCAAGTGTACTGTGGTGGATTCATGATTCCTCATTCCTCCCCCAACCCAGGGCAGCCTATATATCCAAAAGGAAGCTGGAGCTCAGGGTGCGTTGAAGAACAGCACAGCAAGTAGGTAAGAAGTTAAGCAAATGTTTAAGTATTACTAAGCAGGAACTATGAAGAATTTACACATCACCTCTCATGTTTACCAACTCCTTCCTCATGTTCTCCATTTATCCACACTTCACCTTGTCCAGCCACTCCAGTAACTAACTCATCCCTGCCATCTACAAGCTGCTGTTCTGATTACACAAGACAGACAAAATAGCCTATGCAGTGATGTCTCACAAGATGGTGACTAGAGTAATGAGTCAGAGGCAGTGAAGGAGCAGTCTAAGAGCTTACTGGATGGAAAGATTTAAAGAACAGCTTGTAACCTACGTCTCCACTCTAAACATAAAGACAGTTCAAAAGATTAGTAAACAGAAGTCGTATGCCAGGAACTATAATCAAATTAATTCTTCCTGCTAACACAGGTTACTTACATTTGAGCAAATAGTTAGCACTGTCATCTCTACAATTTAGGAAACTAAGAGAGATGCTAAACAAATGTGGAATTAATACCTCATCAGCTGAGCAGCTGGCTAATGGCTGTGGTTATTCCAGAAGAATGGAATCATAGGGGACCTACACTTCCCCCCTTTACTGTAATCACATTTCTGTGCATCACATCCCACATTTTGAGCGGGGGATGGAAGAACAAGGCACACCATTCCTACCAGTTTTCATTAAGCTTCCAGAAAGAGATTTAAACCTCAAATGGTTCAATATTTTTTCTACTCCAAAAGAACAGTATTCTCCTCCTTAAAACACTCAAATAGCATCATTGGAGGTGCTCGTATCACCTCTTGCTTAGAGAGAAAAAAACCTACAAGTAGTTTGTAGTTCATATAGCCCATTTCAGACTCTGAAACTGGCTTCCTCATTCTGCTCCCCTGGTTCCTGGTGACCCAAAGGTATCTCCAGAACAGATCCAGGAGAATTACTATGGATGGATATCCTGATCAGGATTTATACAGGTAGTTTTCCACTCTTCGATCTGTATATATCTTTGATTTGAAGATGTCAGGCACTGTAAGCTATAGGACATAAACACCTAAGGAAATTATAATATGGTTCCAGCAGAATCTATAGGTAATAATAACACACTTCTTGCTATATCTTGCCAGCTAATAATCTGGGCTAGGAAAGTCCCAACAGGATAACTGTCAGTGGGGCATACGACCTGATCTGCCAAATATCCACTAACACAGAGCAGTGAGCAGCAGCATGCATATGCCTTTGTTAGAGAAGACATGGCCTCAACGTCAAATGCAGGGAGCATCCCTGGTCTGAAACAGAAACATAGAAACTTCTTGAATTTTAAGAATATCTTAGTTCAGTCTCTGGTAGTTTGTCCTCCTTACTCTGACAAGCCTTTAGCATCTTTAGTGAACTGACCTGTTTTTACCAGGTTTCACCACACCATGCTGAACTATAGAACTGTCAGCTGTGCTTTTATGCAGAATGCACTGTGTTTGGTACTAATCTAGGACTGGAGTTTCTCCATGCTATTGTACTTGCCAGTACCGCAACCATTGCATTTCCTTAAGCACCACAGAGAACACAGAAATAGCAAACAAGGCATGAAGATCCATATGGACTCAAATGAAACCAAGTCACATTTCACAGCATTAATTTCATTGCAATACATTCAATCTGCAATTTGTGATTATAAACCTTTCTGTTACTGAAACGAACTTACTGAAGCGCAGGCCAAAATGCCGAAGAACCCAACCCTCTGCACCAGGTTCTGGACAGCCAGTTTAGCCCGGGAAGCAAAATCCTGCAAAGAAGAAAATGAAGCATTAATGAGGCAAAACCCAAAATGAACATACCTCGAAATGTATGTGATTTCAACATCCTCCATGCTATGGGATTTCCTAATTAGCATTTGGGAGAATTTTTAAAACAAAAAGGCCAATTTGAAACTTTGGGCTTAGAGGGAAGAGGGAGAAATTCACAATGCTCAGTGTGAAAATCTGACCACCCACATGTATTGAGTTTTGTTTTTCAAAACCCTGCCAGTGGCACCAAGTTCACACTACTATGGAAACAGGTTTTCTAGTATTTATTTTCCCGTATCTTTGAATTGCCAGTGCTGCTTATACCTTATTCCTTAAACAAGCAAAGGGAATTAATTTGCTTCAATACCATTTACAATGTTAAAAAGGTACTTTCTCAAAACACAAAGCCAGAATATAATCATCCCATTATACCCTGAGATCTTTGCTCTCAAACCCAGGATCTTAATCAAAATAGCTAACGCCAGGTACTCTCTGTAACAGACTTGTAAAGTTCATTAAATCCAAAGAGTTGAATCTAAAATATTTTCAAAGCAACAAAGGTGGCAGACCATATCACATTTGAGCTATTCTTTACAAAAACATGCTAAAAACATGCTGCCTACTTTTATTTTGTGATCACAACTTTCAAACATATTCATGACAAACTCAAGAGTCTCCAAGTTTACCAAATCACAGTAAACATTTTTAAGAGTAAAAATAAAGATTCTAACAAGCAGTTTATTTGAATGTGAGAAGTGAATTTACATCAGAATAAAATTCTTTTGAAGCAAAACTGTCCAAAAAGTTAAAAACAGTGTCAATATTATCTATTCAGGCTTGGCAACAGTAGTTCTAGGAAGCTGAGTACCTTTGGTAATAGCAAACTTTAAAAAGTAATTAATTCTTTTTTACAAACCTATGAATAAGCAATAAAAAGCTGATTTTCCAGAAGCAATGCAATATTCACTGATTTATATTTTGTGGAAAACTATCAGATAAATTTCACAAGGAAGTTACTTTAATCAATAATTAATGAAATTCTAAATTCCATACTTCAAGATAACTACAAGATAATCCAGATGAATTAAATTTATGCAATTTTAACTTTGTTACAATTCTATTGAAACCTTCAATACTATATACCAATGCAAGTAAATTACAATTACTTGACAATGTTCTAGCATATTATTTAAATTCTGAACAGTAGAACTGACATAACTTTCTATGCCAGATTTAAAAAAAAAAAAAAAAAAAATCTGTGATAAGGCCATTTGCTATCTTTTTATATCCCTTTTTCAAGTAGTAACTTTTCTCCATTACAGTCCTTTAAAAATAGTTAACAAATTCTCAAATAAAAAAACCAATTCTTACTGAAATCAGAATAATTCTATTTATTATACTTTATATTTGAAAAAATAACCCAAATTAAAACAAATACTTCAACTTAAAGAAAAATGCCAAATAAATAAGATTTCCTACATCTTACAGTGGGACATTTTTAACCAGAGGAGAATATAGAAACCCTTTTAGAATAGTCTGTAAGGGGTGAATTTGCTAACTTCCGCCAGGAGTAACACCTTGGGATCGTGCATGTCTTATTACAAAATGGAATAGGTGAAATAGTCACTCTTTGTTGAAAACGTCTTCCCCGTATTTTTTGTACTTAACTTCTAGGATACGTACAGTATGCATGAGTGATTAAAACATACTCCCAGTGAGCCTGATACCAAGCACTTGAACTTATGTTAGCAGAAACAGGTCTAGAACATGCCTACATAACAAGTACAGAAAATTTTTTCATGCTTTTCAGTTAAAAGAGTGCATTTTGACACAAATTGTTATGAAGAACAAAACATGATAATTTACCAGTGAACTAAGTCCAAAAATCTTGCAACATCAAGGGCAGTTCCTTCTCAAACTAAAATTCCCTCATCATTATTTCCAAGTTAGTATACAAAACCGAAACAAGTTAATATATGATCACTGATACGGGTCAGCACTAATATACACGTTCAGTCCCACTGAGGATTTAGGACATGAACTGAAACGGATGCAAGACTCTCTTGCAGAGTGTGATCACACAGCTATCAACAAAGGAAATAAAATGCAGCATACTAAGGAGACAACAGGTATCCTAACTCCTTAACCAAATACAAAAGTAGAAATATGTCTTCAGAATTTCTCTACAAATTAATTTAAAATGAAAAAGTGTGTGAAAGCATAACAGTAACGTTGTCCTCTCAACAACAGATTTTCTTCTTTGAAAAGGTGAACTGAAAAAGTAGTGCCTTATGTAGGAATTTCGTAAGATGTCTCTCCCTGTACTCTACAATAAAGCTGAATGTGACCATATTTTCAGTTCCTATTTTGTTCACCATTTCACAATGCTCATGGGGTTAGAACAATATTTTCACTTTTATAAGCCAATAAAGATTTTTTTCACAGCTCCATAAATCTCACTGTAAAGTATCTTTAAAATAAAACACTAAAATCCAATTATTCAAACAGGTCCATGATATATTTCAATGGAAGTTGTTTCTATTCTAATTTTAACATCTTTACCCATTATCTTAGACTGCATTGCTAATACACTGTTGTATTAATTTTCACAAGCTGGAATTGGAAACAAACTCTCTAGCAAGTGACCTATAAATTAATGCTTGCAGCACAGCTGGTTTAATAAAATATATTATAATTATATATAGATTGACTGTATTAACTTAGTGTAAGCACACTGCACCATTTTTCATCAAATTTCTTAAAAATAAACAGCTTCCCTCACCCACATTTCTAGACTGCTGCAAAATTCAAGGCTGCCTTAAAACTAATTATTTCCCTCCAGCTAAAAACATACAATTTTTGTTATAAAACCAATGATGAAAGTGTTGAAAAAAGTGTAACAAGTTTGTCTCTCAAAAAAAAAAAAAACCAACACAACCCAACGTTGGGGCAATTTTTCTCACCTTATTAATTCCTAACTTTCTTTTATAAAAGTTCTTACTCAGAATTTTTCTTCTTTTTTTTTTTTTTTTTTAATTTTCATTGTCTATTACAAAGTACTCCATGGAAAGCAGAGCTATAGTTCTAAAAATTTCAGTCAAGAACAACTAATTTGTTTGCCTTTTTCAAACTTTCTAAACAAGCCAGAAGAGATAAATTAAGGATTTTTTCCCCCTATTTTCTATGATCTAATGTAATCATAGCTACGAATAATTTGCATGGTAATATACACATCAGGGTTGCAACAAAATTATATATTTGCAGTCTCAACGTTTACTTTAATGAAAACAAGTTTAGAAATACTTCTGTTTGGTTGCTTCCTTAAATTTTGTTTGTCAAATCCTTGTGACATCTGCAATAATAAAAAAACCTTAAAAGTTTCATTTCTCAGAGAATACAATAATCAGTTTCACAACTTTTACCTATTTCACAATACAATTTTTCAGTTATAAAGCCTGCACAGGGAACAATCTTTTCTCTACTTTTTTTAAGCATTTGAAATAAAAGTAAAACAACTTTCACAACATACTGCTTTAAAAAAAAAACAAAACCAAAAACAAAACACAAAACAAAAAAGACATAAAAGTTCAGCTACTTACAGGCAAAACATTTTCCCCCAAAATTAAAGTATCTAGACTGGACTCGACTCTCAGCTAATATGATTCATTCTCTATAACATTTCAGGATACTTTAGCTCACTATGTCCCTTTCAAAGATGATTTGTTTTTTTGGTTTGGAAATAGATTTCCTGTGACTGCTACAATACAGGCAAAGGAAGGTTAAATGATTAAACATTACTTCATTGGGTTAATCATCAGATCGCAAGAATTGGAATGGAAATAAGAGGCATAAAAAGGTCAGTGCTGAAATACTGATTCACAAGTCTCAGCTGGCGGCTTGAGGAAGTTTGCTTCATATCTGCCTTCAGTAAAATGGCACATTTTATGGATACAAGCATTTCATTACTACATGTTGCAAAAGCAAAAAACCCTCCCAAACCTCCAAACCTAAAGGGATAGTAAAGAGAAATTACATGTTTTGCTGCTAAGTAAGATTTACCACAATGTTCCTCCTTTAAATATGCATTATGGTACAGCTTTGAGTATAACTTAACATGGACCATTTATCCCTCTGAAAAAGCCCTCCTTCTTGACAGAGTGAGTGGACAATCTTGTCTTAACTGCAAGGCTTCGTCCCATCCCTCTGTTCTATTTTGTTTCCATTTATAATTTAAATCTCTATTTCTTCTTTCTCCCTTCATTGTAAAGTAAGGCGCACAAGCTCTTCTGTATTTGAGCAAAGAACATTTCATTAGATTTAGTTAACAAGCTCGAGAAAAAAAAAAACTTTAAAAATTTTTACTCTTTTCCTTCTATAACACCGATTTATTATCAGAAAACAGAATGATCACCATTTATTGTTGACATTGAAATTGTAAAGCCTTTTTTTTCTTAATCTCTAAGAACAAAGATTGTTGATGGATCCATAGCAAGTAACTAGTTGATGGTTACCAAGCAGCTCTGAATAATCAGCACTGGACTGAATCCCACAGTCCTTACAGAAACAACCCATAAGAATTCGGCAGAAGCTATTTTCTTGAAATACTGCACAGATGGACCTGTAACGGTTATGTAATATAACAGTTTGTTTTCTAACATGAAGTTGCAATCAGTTTTCAGGGGCATCAAGAAAGCTATGACTCCCTATCACAAACCAACTCTTCCTTGCATGCAGTAGTGATGATAGTTGTCAATCTCTGAAAGATACGACACCAAGCTCAAATGATTTGAGGCCCAGAAAAACCTTTCTTCTATCACAATTTTCTTCTGCTGTAAATACGTCAAGCACTTTACAAATATATTGGTAATACTGGTATATTGGTGGATATAGCACAAAGAAGGCGGCCAGTAAAGAAGGGAAGGAATGTATGGGACTAAATTCCATCAGAAGTTCATTGTGCACGTATATTCTCTCCTAGTAAGGACAGTGACTTAATGTA